AAAAAAAAATATCGATGTTATTAATAAAATTAAAACAGCAATGGTATTAACACATAGACCATCAACCAATTCCAATGAAAATCAGTCATCTCAACAACAAAAACCCTATTATTGGTGGATTGTTCTTCCTGTTATTGTTGTTTCTATGACAACAGCAACAACTGAGCCAGTTATTCTTAATGATCTTATGATTCAACGTTATCAAGTCGTATATGGACTTGTTAATGCAAGTTCACCATCAAGTGAAACAGCTTGTAATTCAGAAGATCTTGCTAATAATACAGCGATTCTTGAGTTAGCTGACGACGTACAAAAATCAGTTAGTCATTTAAATATAATAATGGCTGGTGTTGGAGCAATACCAGCTGTATTATCTTATGTTATACTTGGTGCTAATTGCGATCGTATAGGACGAAAACCTCTTTTAATTCTTCCATGTATAGGACGAATTATTCGATATACTATCTTTGTATTACTTGTACAACTAGATCTTAGTGATATTTGGTTCATTATAGCTAATATTATTGATGGTTTATTTGGTTCAAATAGTGTTCTTTTACTAGGAGGTATTGCTTATATAACTGATTGTACAACAAATAAACAACGATCAAGTGCTATGGTGCTAGAAGAAGCTGCAGTTGCTTTAACGCGTATATTTCCATTATTAGGTGTTGGTTTTTGGTTACAACAACATGGTCATACATTACCCATGGCAGTTAATTTAGGTATAAATGTCGGTGCATTAATTTATATAATGGTTTTTCAACCTGAATCACGTGGTGAAAATAATTGGCATATTTTACATTTTTTAAAACAATTAAGTAAAGTACGTTTAACACCCATACCTGGTACATATCGAGTTTTCCTTAAAAAACGTATTGGAAATGATCAACGATCAATAATATTATTTACATTAGCACAGATTATGCTGTTTATTGTTTTATTTGGTTTTGTAAGCATTGATTCACTTTATGTTTATGGAAAACCATTATGTTTCAATGCATTAGATTTAGCAATAGCGACTAGTGCACAATTTTCTTTAATGATATTTGTATCAATTATTCTTAGTTTCTGGCAAACTAGATTTACAAATTCATTATATTTACCATGTATTGCAATATTAATGTATTCAATACATTTAGTTATTTTTGGTATAGCTCAAACTACTTGGGTTGTCTATCTTGGTAAGTTAAAAATTTATTAAGATTTATTTTATTATTATAATTTTATATTTTAAGCTTTCTTTATTGGATGTTTACTTTTTGTTGTTATGGCTGTCATACGAGCACATTTAACAAAATTAGTTAATGATACTGAATTTGCACTTGTTTTTATAGCTACTGGAATTGCTGAAACACTTGGATCATATGTTGTTGGTATTGTTGCTAATGAAATATATGCCGAAACAATTGCAGTATATCCTGGAATCATTTTTTTTATATTAGCTTTTCTTACATTAATACCATTCATTCTTATTGGGTAAAAAAATTATATATATATATATATATATTTATTTTTATTCATATTTATTTAGATTACTTTTATTATGGTCATTGTGTAAAAGAAAGAATACAACAACAATAGAAATTAATCAAGAAGATGCAGGAAGAACAACACATGATAATATAGTTAAACGTGATAGCTCAATTATGGAAACGGCATTTTAATAGACAAATAAAATAATTGCTGTTATAATAATCTAATAAATCACCTGTATGCATTTATGATGAAAGGACCGCCGCAATGTTATTTAAGTAGGGATTGTTTATCGACAAATCGATTAGAGGATAATTAATTTGTCTTGAAGTTTTATACTAATGAATACCTCATGAAAATACTTTGAGTTCTTGTAATTATCCATTTTTCCTGTTAAAGTTCGTACTTATCGTTTAAAAATAATTTAATTATATGTCAATATTGATTGCTTGAATTTCTAACGGCACTATTTTATTATCTATTCCATTATATTTATATATATCTTTTTTGTTAATTAAATAATAAAATAGAAAGTAGAGAACCAGTTGCTTTCACATTTATTGGCATATCCCTATGGAACATGTACTATTTTCTTTTAATTAAAATCTTTGGTGATAATAAAAAATAAAATTTTCATGGATTTTTATATAAATTCGTAGCGAGTCCTATGATGAAATATAATTTAAACTACATTAGAGATATTATTCTCATGATATATTATACAAAGATAGAAATATTTTTTCAAATAAAACAAAAGCTTTATATTTAACCCCATTTTCTTATTCTAGATGAGACAAGTAATAGAATGTTTTTTTTTTGTTTTAACAATATCAGAATAATCTTAAACATACTCTTTTGTTTTTACTTTCTAAACATAAACAATTTGATTTGTTTCTCGTTTTTTTTTGACGTACAATACGCGCGTTTAACAGAATCACAAACTAGCAAAGAATAGAAAAACAAACAAACAAAATATAATTTTTTAAAGACATAAACAAAACAAAAAACACCGAGACAGTTTTTTTTAACCGAGTTGTAAGAAATCACTACAATGAAGATTTCAACTCGAATACAATAGAACATCATGTGTGTCTTTATATTCAAACAATTAAACTGAGAATTTCAAGTTGATGTAAATATATGTCAATATATGAGCAAAATGAGAAAAATAGAATTTAATATCTAAGAATAAGAATTTGTATTTGAGCAGTTTTTTTTTTGTTAATATGATGAACCATTATTTAACATATGTCCAGTATTTGTTATAGACATACTATCTGTTTGTTGATAAAATGGAAGAGCTGGAGTTGACGATGAACGTTTTTCAGATAAATTCGATAGATGATCTTTATTTGTTTTCATTGCTGACATAGTTGAATATTGATCGGTATATATCAATGTATTATCGAGTGAGAATGGTGATGATGATGTATTATTATTTTCTAACGAATTGTGACTGAAAGTTTTTGTTTGAGATGAGAGAGTATTTACATCCATATTAAATGATATATCAAACACATCTTGTGCATCAAGCATTTCTAATAAAAGATCAGCTTGTGGTAATAAATCATTATTACGCATGTCTAAAAATAATCTTATTAATTTCGAACTTAATATTTTAATATGTGATAATTGCAATAAAAGTGTAAAATGCCGAATAGAAGTATCTTGATATACACTAGGATTTAAATCACATGTAAAATGTAATGTTTGATAAATTTGATTTGTTAATATACGAAAAGGTTTTGTTGATGATATAGTTGCTGGTATCGAATTAATAAGTATTGTAGCTTTAAGTGCAATAAATTCTTCATGTGTTGTACGTGGATCTTTAAACACTTGAATTAAATTAAATAAATATGTACATATTGAGTTTAATATAGAACTTGATAAATCACGATTTCTAAATTTGAAAAACTAAGTATTATTTATTAATTTTGAGTATTGTTTACCGTGGGACAATAAAATCAGGTGCAAATTGTAATGAATCATCATTACGTTCTAATGAACGTTCGATTATATCGAGAATTAATGTATCTAACCAACTTTGTTCAATCATAGTTACTTGTTGATCAAGTGTTAAACTTTCAGTATAACCTAATAAAAATATATTAGAGATTTGTTTTTCGTTCAATACAAAAAAAAATATAAATACCTGGTATAGCTTTAGCCCAATTAATAAGAACAACTAATTCTTGATCGAAAACTTTTGCAAGTAATTGAAGAAAATATTGATCATCTAATGGACGATTTGTATCAATTTTAGCTGGTAAATTTAAACGAGATGCTTGAGACAGAGTTGTAAGAAATTCATTCGTCGTTGTTGCAACACGTGTTAAGTCTGATGTAGTCTAAATGAAGAAGAAGAAAAAAGTAATGAAACGATAAAAATTATAATAGAAAAAAGTCTATACCTTATTAGTTTGATGTTGTTGTTGTTGTTGTGATGAAAAAGTATTACTATTATTATTCGATTGAGATACCGAAGGTGTGATTGTTGATGTTCGAGCATTAGTGGTTGATACTAATGATCCATGTTCTTGATTATTTATTGTAGCATTTGAATTTGATGACGTTGATGTTATTTTACAAACCGATACAGCTTTTTTTCGATATTTTCTTTCTCGTCTTGCTGTACCTTTTGTCATACCGACTTCATAACAACGTCGTAGACGACAAGCTTGACAGCTTTTACGACGATGTTTATCAATTGTACAAGTATTCGTTGCTGGACATACATAATCATTTGTACCTTGAATACTTCGTTTAAAAAACGCTTTACATCCTAAAAAAATTAGAATTTTAAGAAAAAGATTTATCTTTAAAAAAGAAAAATTTACCTTCACAACTCCATACACCATAATGATAACCAGAAGCAACATCATTACATACAGACTTAAAAATAAAAGAAAATATCTATGTAATTATATATATTAAAATTTAACTAAACATACACAACGACGCTTATCTTCTGGAGAAGGTTGACCTGGAATAAAGAAAAAAAAAAGAAAATATTTAATAATTAAATAATATTTTATATAAATGAAATTTCTAACTATATATTTAAAGAAAATTATCTTAAAAGAAAAGAATATTTGACTCAATATTTATTCTTACATATAAACAAAAAATAATGTAAATATTATTGATGAATATTTTATTCGTATTTATTATTATCCTATTCATACCAACCTCTTCCTCCACCTTCAGTTGTAGCTGATGGTGTTACCATATTTGATGTTGAAGAACTTTCAGCTATATTATTTGTTGTTGGTGATAATTGTTCATTTTCCATTGATGTTATTGATTGTTGATGATTATAAAAATCACTGGAAAATGAATTAAATGATACTGGACTATATGGTTGTTGTTTAATAATTGAAGACATTTTTTAACATATCTTATTATTAGACATTTAAATTTTTCAAAAAAAATTATACAATCTAAGGTTATATAGAGACTTTTGTCTATGACAATAATAGTTAAAAATAACCTCGAAAGAAAAAGAGAAAGGCAAATAACAAATGCATAATATTCATACTGGTTAATGACGTTGTCTAT